CTGCTGGCTTAGGCCTGCTCCTGGGTGGCAGAGGGCAGGCCCAATCCCTAGGTGCAGCCCCTGGTCAGGCTCAGAGCAGGGCCGATTGGGGAGTTGGGGCACCGCCCCCTGTCACGCACAGAGCAGGGCGGATCGGGAGGTTGTGATGCCACCCTCAGTCACGCTCAGGGTAGGGCCGATTGGGGGGTTGGGGCACCGCCCCCTGTCATGCACAGAGAAGGGTCGATCAGGGGGTTTGGGCGCTCCCCCCTGTCATGCTGATCCCGGTGCCAGGAGGCCTCTCGGCTCCGCTGATCCCAGTTCAGGGAGGCATATTACCCTTTTACTATTTAGGATAAAGGCCTGGTGCATGGGTGGAGGCCAGCTGGTTTGCCCTGAAGGGTGTCCTGGATCAGGGTTGGGGTCCCCACTGGGGTGCCTGGCCAGACTGGGTGAGGGGCTGAGGGCTGTTTTCAGGCTGTGACTGAAGCTCCCAACTGCTCCTTTTTTTCTTTTTCATTTTTATTCTGGGCCATGTTTAGCCTGGCTCCAGCTCTGAGGCTTCCGCTTCTGAAAGCAGGTACCTGGTTTGTTTGTGTTCTATGATCGAAACTCTGTATCAACTCCAGCTCTGAGATCCCGGCTCACTGAAAGCAGGTTTCTGGAGTTTTTTTTAGCTTCTATATGTTATTATGTTTCAAACTGCCCGCTCAGAGGCCTGCAGCGGCAGGCAGGGAACGCTGGAGTCCTCCGTCGCTGGAGCAAGCAAGCCTCATGTTAGTTTAAGCTCCCTGGCTGCCAGCCGCCTTCTTGGCTGTCACTTAATTTGCATATCTCGCTGATTAGCCAATGGGAAGGGTAGCGGTTGTACGCCAATTACCATGTTTTCTTTTATTAGTGTAGATATTTAAATGCCATTTAACAAAGAAAAAATCAACCCAAAAAATGAGTTCTCTTGTCAGAGGTTCGCCATCACTGGTAGAGTGTACACAGCCGAGGTCAATCAGGGCCCAGAGATGAAGACCTACACAAAGGCACTGGCTATGGGGATGGAAAGGAAAATGTAGGAAAACTGCTAGAAATACAGGTGAGGAAATAGATAAGAGCTGGGTACTAATTTAATATGGAAATGAGAGGAGAAGAGGAGCAGAGACTTAAAAAACTATGTAGGGTACAGTCCCGTGCGCCGCCTGGTCGTTACTGCGAGGCAGGTGGCTCTCAGGCCAGCGCAGGTCCGGCGTGGTCATCGGACCCAAGGTCTGTGAGCAGCCACGATGTCGATCTTCACCCCCACCAACCAGATCCACCTCACCAATGTGGCCGTGGCACGCATGAAGCGCGCCAGGAAGCATTTCGAAATCACCTGCTACAAAAACAAAGTCGTCGGCTGGCGGAGCGGCGTGGAAAAGGACCTTGATGAAGTTCTGCAGACCCACTCAGTGTTTGTAAATGTCTCTAAAGGTCAGGTTGCAAAGAAGGAAGATCTCATCAGTGCATTTGGAACAGATGACCAGACTGAAATCTGTAAGCAGGTGGGTTTTAACAGCTGCAGCATAACTGACCCGTCTGTAGTGTGAGTACTTAGAGATGTGTTAATCTTTTAAGTATTTTTGAGTGAACAGTTACCACGCAG